TTCGCTCCTCCATTTTACTCATCATCTCCTGTGTAACCCATGGTTTTCTTGCTATCTTCTCAACTTTACCTACCAAATCACTGATAGTATCTAACATGCATTCTTTTATATTGTTCCACTGCGCTTCAGCATTTCCGCTTTCACCTTCAATTGCACCGAGTTTCTCTTCTAGGGTCTCTTGCACGCTTTGTCTTTGAGCATATAACTTCTCCAAATCCCATCTGGGTCTGCGCTTTCGAAATCCTATAATTTTCTTCAACCTGGTTCGGAACTTGGCAACCAGTAAATTGTGGTCAGAGTCAATATCTGCCCCAGGAAGCGTCTTCACATCCTTCACACTGTTTCTGAATCGATGTTTCACAAGGATGTAGTCCAGCTGATGCCTCCTCCAATCCCCAGGTGCCTTCCATGTGTAAATTCTTCTCTTTGGCTTCTTGAACCAAGTGTTGGCGACAATCAGTCCATTTCATTCACAAGAATCAATAAGCATTTGACCCCTGTGATTCTGTCTTCCTAGTCCATGTGATCCAACAATATTCTGTACAGATCTATGGAATACAAATAAAATAAATGAATGAATGAATACAGTGCAGCTTCTCAGGCAATCAGCCATGTCAATGTGGAGTTAGCACCTGATGTTTCACAAACTGATTCTATTTCCATCATCAAGGCTTTGTGTGATGAGGGTCATTTTCACATGCCTGAGGCCCTTGGCCTTAAAGTCCAAGAAGTGTACTGTGTCTTGTGTGAATGCAGCAGAGTGTACATTGGACAGACAGGCAGTGCCATCGATATATGGAAGAGCACTGAATAACTTCAAGGATGTCACAGTACGAACGATAATAGGCTATATGGACTACTTAGTGAAGGAGGCTGCTGAGATCTGGCTGCACCTTAATAATTTCAACAGAAATACAGTATTCCCCATAAGTAGTACATAATATCTGCCCATGAACATGATAAAACAAGTAAAAGTAAGAGAAAGAGATTTTAAAGGAGGATCAATGACAAGCAACATGAACTGTGATGACTCCACCACCCACTGTTCCTTGCACAGTCCATGCCAGGACAGGACACCACTGACTATCTGGCTCTATCCAGTGTTCCCTCTATGGCATGTGGTTAGCCAGATAACAGCATGTGTGAACATGACACTCAACACATCAACCCCCTGATGATGGAAACACAGACAGTTTCTGAAACATAAGATATTAATTCCACACTGACACAGCTGACTTTGTGAAAATATTCTTTGTACTTAATTTACTATATGAAAACAAAAACAGCTTTAAATGGCTTTCAGGCATTATGAATGTAAATGTGCACCATGAATGTTTTTTTGGGGGGGAAAGAGTATTACAACCTGGAGATAACTGTCTTCTTGGAGGATACTGTAATNACTACAATCTACTGACTCTCATGGACTACATCATAAAACCAGAACTGTAACTTTACTTGGAGGTTTGAATAAACTATCCTGTGTATCTCTTTAAATATTTACAGAAACAAACACCTTCACAAAATAAATATTTATATTTATGCATTTCCTTTACTTACTGATGCATTCTGAAAAAAAAAAATAATACAATTTCATTCAAGAATAAATATGATATAAGCATTCATCTCTCCACTTCTGCTGGCTTTTGCAAGAACATTAATTTCAGTGAAGATCATTCAAGTTCCTGCCTGAAATTAACTGAAGCAAAAGACCAGAATGTTGGTGTAAAATAAACAAGCTATACTTGCCATTTTAACTTACCATTAGTGGTTCTTTAACTGCAAATATCTCTGATTTTTCAGTCTCTGCAGTAAGATATGCTTGTAGTTGTTCCTTTTTTATGTTAGTCCATGGCATTTCTGGCGAAACATGTTCACCAAATACACATCCCAAGAACCTCTGCATTTCCACAGACAAAGTAAGACGCATTACTCCCTCTATATTGAGATCTTTGTCTTCAACAGTTGTACTCTGCCGCCTAATGGTTTCCCACTCCTCAATTTGTGCTTCAGCTTGTGAGATACACAATGTAAAATCAGTACTGGGTATCATATGTGCAATTAATAAAATACATGTTTATTAATTATTTATTTTAAATATGTCTTGAATATAAAAATATTATCATAAGAGGCCATGAAGGGTAAAGTGCCATTCTAGCTTTTCTTTGAGATTTTGATGACAATGTTAGTGTAAATATGAAATATTGACTGTTGATCATGTTACATTACTGTCAACATCACTGCTATTTCAGAACAGAAATTAATAATAAAATACTGGATGAAATATGACATTAAAAGTATGACACCACATTAGCTATTATAGTAAAACAAAAAGACACTGAAACATCAATGCGCACAAAATAATTTACCAACATGTCTTACCAGCCAACTAAACTTCCCAATGGAGTATAATATCAGTTACTGTATGGAATGTAAGAAAGATGAAAAACAGACGACCCATAACAAATATCTAAAGTTTGTGAAAGTGCACCATAATGCTGAATTTGCTGTTCTCATAGTAGTGATTATGAAGTGTATAATCTTTCGAGCTGTAATTCTGTGCAGTTTTGTACCGAATCTGCAGGTGCTACACTGGGTAGTCTCCCTCAGTTCTTACACAGTGACTATGAAGAGTACGGTCTTGTGGGTTGTAATGCCATGTAGTTTGACCCTGAAAATGGAGGTGATATATTCCTCTGAAATATCAGGCTCCCTCTCAATTACACAACATTGCAGTCCAGAAGACTGTATTCTTCAGGAGTTATAATGGTGAATTGTGGGAACTGATATGTTTTATAATAATGTAATGTGTCGGGGGTGGTACATGTGATGAAAATCACAGGTTCTAGTTCAGATGACTGGATTTATTAGTACTTTGGTTACACTCTCTCTTAATTACAATTAATATACTGCTATTGCTGATTTACACAATATACAGTTCACTGTTGTACACGCACTAGGATTCTCTGTCTTCACTAGTCGTCTCCTGGCAACAGACCTCAACACAGAAACTATCACTCCAAATCACTATGAAGTCTTCTTGTTATTTCGTCTTCAGTCACCCTTTACTCCTCTGTCTAATCTGTACCCAATTAATCTTCACAATTCACTAAGGACATGCTCCATTCTCGTCCTTGTACTTTCAACTGCTGAACCCTCCTAGACTCCCCTTCACTGCAAGCAGACACATGTCATATAGTAGAGACATGGATGATGCAGAAACCACAGTTCTACTGTTGCGTAGTCCAGTCCACACAGAAAACAAGTCACATGATAGCTAGCTCACCAGTTCATTGGCGCGCTGATTGTTGCCTAGCAATGAACTATAAACATTTGTCCTATTGTTGCGTGCGCATATCATGGGTGTTAACCAATCTGTTGCCTGGCAATGCATTGACATGTCACAATACTTTAAAATTTTATATATGACTCTCTGAATTTGGTTACATGTGAAACATATCAGTATAATGACCAATCTTAAAAACATAAGGAATTACAACACTTCTGTTAGAGTACATATATTATAGCTATGGTTCCTGTCAACATATTATGTTGACAGGAACCATAGCAAAAAGTGATAAGACATTGTATATACTGTTGCACTATGCTGACACAAAGGCGACAACCTTTAGTCACCCCTTAATCACTCAGATCTCTACTAGGTTCAATGCACACCTCCAGTGTTGCTCAGACTCTCAGCTAAAGCCAAAATCCCTGCAGACTGAGAACTTCATAATTTCCTTTGGCTCTAAATGTCATAAATTCCATGCTCAACCAAGTTGGGCAGATACAATGCCTTCTTTTCTCAGACTATTAGCAGTGGGCTATCCTAGATGTTCTCTGTCAATCACCAACAGGATATCAAAGCCCCCATCACTGGTCCCTTGTCCTCTACTGGCCTGTCAAATTCATCTTCTTGATAGGTCATTCACCCCTATTAAGAAACATCTTAGTCTTGCTCTCAGTGGACCCAGGCCAGGGCCCCTGAGAGATATGACTGCCCATCCATAACAGCAAAACATCAAAGAAGCCAAACCTGAGCACTTCAAAACAGGGACAGGAGCCCTCCCTCACATAAGCACTGGTGGCAGGGATCCTCAAGTTGGCCTGTCACTACATCAGGGGCAGCAGAGCCTCTACCTGGTCTCAGCTCGACACATAATCAAGCACCAGCTAAGGCACAGCACCCAAGACCGGAACTTTCCCCCTTCCCCCCAGCCTGCTTTGGCTGCTAGCCTCTCCATTTCTCCTTTTTGAGTGTCAGGCTATTCACTCCTATCAAGAGAACTCTTGGAGTCATACACTCATGAGACCCTCATCAGGGCCCATGATGGATTTGAGTGCCTCTCCATTACAGCAGAAGACCCAGCACATGAGCCTATCAAAAGAGGGACATAAAGCCCACCCCCTAGCAAGGAGGGCGGGAACCAGTCAGCCACCCTCTGTCTTGCAAGGACAACTTAACTCAGCGATGTCCACATTATAACTGCCTCCTAGCTGCTGTGCAGTTCCTTATATATCTGCCGTGGTGCCTGTTACGAGCCACGTCACAGTAGGAAGCGGTTACGGGTACGTAGTGTTGCGCGTTACGTCACCGCGGAGGGGCGGGAGGGAGCGCTTCGTTACCGTGCGGAGGAGGGGGAGGGGAGCGCTGACTCACCCGCCGCGTCACTGCTGGTGGGGGGGTGGCTCTCCTTAGCGCAACATGTCACACTATATATATATGTGACTATAGATGGGGTTTTGATTGGTAATTGAATTTACTAAACTCTTATACAACATATTACTACGCTTAAGGATTATGCACTCAGTTCTACACACTTGACAAATCACTATAGGACACACTAGGTCTTCTCAGTCTATTACAGTCTTCAATAGCCCTTGTACAATAGCAGCTCTCAATGGTGGAAGCTCCCCTTCTTCTGGGTTCTGCAATGTCTCTGGCCTCAGCTACCAGCTTCTCACAGCAACAGCACACAAGTTCACTGCCACTGCCTAGCAACAGTCATTTGTAGTGCCATTACTTAGCAATGGCTGTTGTGTAGTTGTTTATTTTGGGGTCATTGCCTAGCAATGGGTCTACATGGCACAATATATATATATATATATATATAGTCACACAGGGGGAGGTAGGTCACCTGCTAACACATGGATCGCACCAGACATTCCAGACCAGTCCCTCTCGCCTCGGCTATATATATATGTGAAACATATACTTCATTCGCAAAGATGAAGGGTTATTCTATAAGTATTATGTGCTGGTACATATAAACACTAGCTGCCAGCCAGAAGAGGTCAGCCTATGCTTAGAAACAGCATAAAATGTTTGTGTGTGGTTAAAGCATGTGACTAAAATGAAGCAGTGCTGGCAGCAAAGAGATAAGTTCATGAAGACAGTGCAGTGGTGTTCAGTGGAATAACAGTGAACAAGTACAAACTGACCTCAAGATCATGCCAAACTGTAAGTGACTGCTCCAAAACAAGTTAAACATTACAATATCTTGGTTGGTGCAAGTATTCAGAATTACAGCTCCAACCCCACTCTTTACAAAGACAAAACAGCTAGCAATCACAAAATGTTTGGGACAAAAAATATTTAAAGCATTTGTTAGCTTAAATAATCTCTGCTAATTCCTTATCCATATACTTCACTCTGGTTGCTTGGTTCAAATCTTGGATGGGACAACAGCTATCCTGACTGAGATATTTCAAAGTTTTTCTCAGTCCCTCCAGGCAAATGCCCAAACAGTACTTCAATTCAGACATGATTGCATCCTTCCAAATCCTTTCCCAATTCATCATCTACAATCCTACCATTGGAAACTATGCAGTCTCGATATTCAAAGTGTTACTAAATAACCCCCCCCCTCACACCCACACACACACAGACACACAAATGTCATGGACACTTACATCTCTTCCGCTTCTTTATTTCTGAGTTAGGTTGTTCTGCTGTCACTGTGGATTGAAATTTTAACTCCTTAGCCATGGTTAAATTATTCCTGAAAGAGAAAGGAACTGATGGGCGTTAGAAATGCTACAGGCAACAACACTTACATTCCCTCTTTTTACTTTCACATATCATCCAAAAAATTACTACCCACTTCAACGAGCAAAATATCTCCTTGAATAATTTATTGGTGTAGTTTGGTTCAACTTTGAAAATGTTCAGACAACCTCTATAACATACTTTAACAGATGCCATCTACATATATTTTCAAAGTTGAACCGTAAACATACCAATAAATTATTTAAGCATATAAACACATGTATACATTTTTGGGGAACCTCTGTATATAAGAATGTACTCTGATCCTGAAAAAAATTATCTGAGATTGAGGGATTTCTGTTTTCACTGCTGAATATGAATAAATGATTCTTGGTATGCCGTCTGGATGCAGGGATACATAAACGAACTGCACTACAGTCCGAAAATAAGTAATGTAGACGCCTCAAATATTCTGTTAATCCACCTTTTCTCCGTACCACAAATCTAAAACACTCCTTTCTGCTGTTCACCAAGTTTACATATACCATTTCATGACTCCATGATGTTTATATTTCTCGTGTTACATTTGTCTCGTTGTCATGGAAACAAGTTTGTTGGGATATTTCACTCTTCTAAAGAGATGTTCTAAGCATGACAAATTACAACATGTCAGCACACGACTATCAGCTACTATTTACTCACTTTGGGGAATTCTCTTCCTTCGAAGTTTCTATAGTAGACTTATGGTTGAAGTCTTAAAACAAACTTTCCAATAGAAATTTGAGGGAAGAGAGATTCTGAGAGGACAAGAAACCGATTGGATTTCTGCATCCGATGCTGGCCATTTTGCCAGCCTGATAATGATGATTACCGGCACCGTGTGGTGGCAACAGTGGCAACCGTGGCAACCATTGAAGATGATTGAAGATTTAGTGCGTCGACAAGTGATGTGATTAATTCCACATTCTGCCACTGGAGAGCAGCAAAAAGCGTTACAATAATTGTGCAATATTTATTTTTACTCCTAGGCTTTGCAACAAATAATTTCTGTTATAATCAGAAAAATATCTGAATTTTTTTATTTCAAATGTATACATATAACTTTAAGAAATTAAAATGAATGTAGTACACATATACATAAAAACTTTTAATTCGATCCCGTAAATATAAAGGATGTAAAAGTAAAGAAAATACGCCTGATACCGTAAGTACGAATGCAAAGTTACGTCCATTTGCTTATTAGTGTTGTGTTTAAAATTTTTATGTTTTCAAACCTCTGTAATTGTTGCTTAATCGCACAATCTCCAACATCTCGAAGTAGGTCACAATAAAGCCTCGCCCAGACCAAGGCGAACGCGATCTATTGACGAAGAGCCGCGCGCAAACCAAGGCCATCGCGAACATCGCGAGGGAAAATTCTGCGGAAAACAGTTTCAGTCGCTTTTCAGCCTTTGTCGAGACTTTATGGTTGCCTCTTCTTATAGCAGTAGCCTTTGACGATGATAAAGAGATGGAAAGGTAAGTAACGCATCTCATCTTCATATATACATAAATATGATTGCATTTATATATGAGTAATGTCTTTTTTTATTATTATTTAACTCCAATAATTATACAATTTATCCATTAAATGTGGATAATGAGTACATTTTGTGGTTAATTTACATATAGCAAAAGAAGAGAGAGTACTTGACGTGGTGAGCATATTCCAATGAACATGCTCAATACTTATTTTAACTGCATATTACTAAGCAGTTAAAATTTATTTATATTTATTTATTTATATTTACGGGATCGAATTAAAAGTTTTTATGTATATGTGTACTACATTCATTTTAATTTCTTAAAGTTATATGTATACATTTGAAATCAAAAAATTCAGATATTTTTCTGATTATAACAGAAATTATTTGTTGCAAAGCCTAGGAGTAAAAATAAATATTGCACAATTATTGTAACGCTTTTTGCTGCTCTCCAGTGGCAGAATGTGGAATTAATCACATCACTTGTCGACGCACTAAATCTTCAATCATCTTCAATGGTTGCCACTGTTGCCACCACACGGTGCCGGTAATCATCATTATCAGGCTGGCAAAATGGCCAGCATCGGATGCAGAAATCCAATCGGTTTCTTGTCCTCTCAGAATCTCTCTTCCCTCAAATTTCTATTGGAAAGTTTGTTTTAAGACTTCAACCATAAGTCTACTATAGAAACTTCGAAGGAAGAGAATTCCCCAAAGTGAGTACATCTAGGTCCTTGTGTAGTACCGTGTTCGGCACATACCACGGTGCGTTAACCATTATTCGTAATACTTTGCTTTGAAATCGTTGGAGAATTTCTATGTTTGAGTTACTGGCTGATCCCCACAATGGTATCCCGTACGTCCATATCGGTTTGAGCATCGTTTTGTACAGTAAGATCTTATTTTCTGTCGATAGATCCAACTGTATTCCCAGCATCCAATACATCTGTCGGAATTTTATTCCGAGTTGTTTTCTTTTGGTGTGAATGTGTTTTGTCATGTCAATCGTTTATCCAGGTCTATACCAAGGTATTTAGCGTCTTCTGCTTGTGGTATCTGAGAGTGATTTAACGTTACTGGAGGACAGGTAGCGCGTTTCATGGTAAACGTTACATTTGTAGACTTATTTTCATTTGCCTTCATACGCCACATTTTCAGCTAGTGTTGAATTTTATTTAAGTGGTCTTGTAAGTTCCTGGATGCAGATAGAGGATTGGTATGAGATGTCAAGATAGCTGTGTCATCTGCAAACGTGGCTGTTGTTGTCTTTCTAATTGTTGGTAGATCTGATGTGTAGATCAAGTATAGCACTGGCCCTAAAACGCTACCTTGGGGGACGCCAGATGATATTGGGTATAGGTTTGTTAATGCCTCCTGTTGCTTTACAAAATAGTATCTCTGTGTAAGATAAGATCTCAGGATTGCGTACATTTGATGCGGAAGTTTCTGTTTCATTTTGTAACATAGTCCTGCGTGCCAGACCTTGTCAAAGGCCTGTTCTATGTCAAGGAACACAGCTGTGCAGTAACGTTTTGTTTCGAGATCTCTGTTTATTTGGTTGACTAGTCTATGGACTTGTTCCATAGTTGAGTGCTTGGTTCTAAATCCGAATTAGTGTTTGGGAATTATGTTTTGATCTTCAATCACTGGTTTTATTCTTTTCAGTAGTAGCTTTTCTAGTACCTTGGATAGTACTGGTATCAGACTTATTGGTCTGTAGGATGTTACTTCTTTCGTGTTTTTCCCAGGTTTGGGCAGCATAGTTATTTGTGATATTTTCCACTGTATTTGGGTAGTATTCTACTCTTAACACTGCGTTGAAAATGTGTGTAATTTTTTTGGATGCATTTTTCTGGAAATTCTTCCAATATCTTTCCCGTGATTAAGTCCAATCCAGGAGCTTTTTTGGGTTGATTTCTTTTTTTGATGACCGTTTCCACTTCTTTATATTTGAAGTTTCGCATTGCTAGGTTCATCTGATAGGGTGCATCTAGGAAGTTGTTGAATTCGTATTCATCTTCTTGTGTGGTCTCAGTGTCGAAAGGTTTGAAGAGTTTGGAGAGGTGTTTGGCGAATGTTACGGCCTTCCTTGATTGCGTCTTGCCCAGTTGCCTTCGTCCGTTTTTATTGGTGGTGCTGGCACCTGAGGTCTTTTCAGTCTCCTCGTTGCTTTATAGAGTGAGTAATTGGTAGTTTCTGTTGCAGTTAATCCCTTTATGTACTCCTGAATGGCCTCATTTTTTAGTTTTTGTAGTAATTTTCTTAATTCTTTGGTTTTTTATTGTAGATGCTCTTGTCAGATTCTGTTCTGATAGTCTGCCATCGTTTTCGCGCTCTTCTCTTTTCTGCGATTATTTGTTTAACAATAATTGGGCTGTTCTTTTTGATTCCCCTGTCATTTCGATCTGGTGTGGCTTGCCATGCTGCTAGTTGGATTGCCTTGGTTAATCTTTCTACTTCGTCATCTATGTCAGCTTCTGTTTTTAGGGGGGTCTCCAGTGTGACTATTTTATCTAATGTTTCCCGAAACAAATTCCAGTTCGTATTCTTGCTATGTAGGGAAGGTTCTTTCGGTTTTTCTAGTATTTGGGCGTACATGGTGACTATGATTGGGGTATGATCAGACGTGAGATCTAGGCTTGATTCCACTAGGAATTTTTTTGTGTTAAGTCCTTTGGTAACACAAAAGTCTAGTATGTCCGGAGTCTTTCTGCTGTCTGTTGTCCAGTATGTGGGTTGTCCTGTTGTTAAGTAGCTTAAGTTATTGCTGTTCATGGTAGCAAGTAATTATCTTCCTTTTGAGTTTGTAAGTCTGGAAACCTATTGTACGTTTTTTGAATTAAAGTCTCCCACCAGGAAATTGTTCCCCAAAGTTTTAAAGAAATGTTCAACGTCCTTGTATTTGTTATTATGCTTTGATGGGCAGTAGATCAAGGAGATTGTTATTTCGCTTGAACGTTCCTGTATGACTACGCTAGTAGCTTGTATATATTTTTTGTTTGTATCCTTCTTTCTCATAATGCTTGATATTGTTTCTGATTATTCCTGCTGTGCCTGCGTGTGCTGTCCCATCATGGTGATTTGTGTGATATAAGTTAAAGTTTGGTATTTTTATGTAACTTTTGTTTGTAAAATGTGTTTCTCAGTTTAGCATTATGTCTATGTTATTATGTAGTAGGAATATTTTGATTTCCTGTACGTGTTGAGTCAACCCATTAGCGTTCCAGATTCCTATTTTTAGTACTTGAGCTATTGTGAAGATTTGTTGACCAGAGTTGCTACTAGATTTATTAATGTCCCCATTTGATCCATTAGATTTTTCATCATTTGTTTAAATTCAGTTAGGTCATTAGCTGTTTGTGGTGGTGTAGTTGATTTTGTCTGACCTTCATGTTGGACTGGGTGTAGAATTTTGGTTTTCATGATCTGTGCATATGATATGTCCGGTTGTGTGACGTCTGTATCCGTTTTTCTCTCTCGAAGTGTTGGTTAAATTTTTTGTTGTATTTGTTTGTGTATTATGCATCCTCGATAGTTAGCTGGGTGATGTTCCTTGCAGTTGACGCATATGACCTCTTCATCTCTTGTTTTTCTAGGGCAGTCTTTGGTTAGATGGTTCCTAGCACATTTAACACAACGTGGGTTGTTATGACAATAATTTCTTGTGTGCCCGTACTTCTGGCACCTCATGCATTGCGGGATTTCTCGTTTGATGTGTGGTGCCTCGAATTGCACGCACGTATTCATTAGTAGTTTTACTTTGTGTATTTCTTTATTATTATCTTGTGCCTTGAGGTCAACAAAGAACAATGGTAGTTGTACGTTAGTATTCCTTTGCTTTACATTCCAGATGTTTATTACCATATGTCCTTTTTCTGCTAAGCTGTTGCTTATTTCTTTTAGGTCAGTTGTTGGATGCATGTTTTTCAAGACTACTCTAAAGGTTTTGTCTTTCTTAGGTTTATATGTATGAAATTCCGTATTTTTTTCCATTAGAGCTTTGAGAATTGTGCTATACACGTCGCTCTTCAGTGGTTGTATTTTCACCTGATCATGTCTTAATGTTTTTGTAGCGTAGTTATCTTTTGCTAGTTCGTGTAACAGTTGGATCAATGGTTTTATGTTTTTTACGCCTGCTATAAATATGGGTGGTGGTTTTGGTTCCTTTTTTTGTGATGTCTACTGTTGTTTCCATTTCTTCCTCAGAGAGTCCTTCATATCTAT